ACAGAAAGAAAACAACATTGAATGAAACCCTCCCAATAATTAGGCCTAAAAAAATCAATTGTTTTCTGCCTTTTAATGCTGAAAATTGTATAGGAGGGGCGGGTGCAAAAAAGTTTTTATTTTTTATTTTTTAGTTTTTATTTCTCCTGTCACCAAAATTAACATATTAAATCGCAATGCTTGCAATTAAACCTGTCTCACTATTTGTTTTTCAAAGGGTATTCATCAGACTGAATAAAAATAACCCATAATCGATATTTTGTAATGAATTTAGGCCTAGAATGGCGATAACTTACATCAGACACCAAATTTAGACAATTTTCATGTGCAAAATGGAGAAAACTAAAGACAACTTTTGTGAACAAAAAATTTAAAAAAAAAAAACTCATAAAAAAACAAAAAATATATTTTGTACAGTTTGATTATGTAAATAACTATTTTTTTCATTACTAATAACAATAAATTTTATAACCATTATGTAAAACACTATCAAGTTCTATGTGACGAATACCAGTGATTTGCTTATACAGGTATGATATAACATCATTATGCCCATATATGTAAACCACAGAAATCTCTGACAGAAAATTTCATAGTGTGTACAGAGCATGTGGGAGTGTTGTAAATAAGGTCCTGACACGAGCAGCGTTTGAACACAGGAGCCCTGCAATTAAAAAGTGATTGTAGCAGTCTTAGCTAGTACCTTGTGAAGGCATCAAAATACACATCAGGAACCAAGTTAGCCACACTCAGCACACAATCCTGGAATCGTTTTATCACCTCAGCAACCCCATCTTGGAAGTCATCTCGGTGCGGTGCAAATGTTAGCTGTGCTGGTTCGAGCACAAATTCTGTCGTAAAAAGAGGTGGTTGGGCGTGGTCCTGATCTTCTTGGTAAGTACCGGTGCCAGTCATAGATGGTGGTATAGTTCCCTTTTATACCAAATAAAAAATGCTTAATTGAGATCATCATTACCATTTATGATATGATAACAACAATACTGTTGAATACTTCAACTTAAGTTAAGTTGAAGCGAATATTTAATTAAAAAGTTGGATGAAATTTTGTTTTCTTGCCAATTAAAAGTCTCATATGGACGATTCTACTTTGTTTGTGGGGTATTTATTTAGCAATACTCAGTTCATCCAGGTAAGCATTGACAAATACAATAATTATATTGGATGATATTATTGAATTTTGAAGGGATTGTAAAGAAGCAATGAGATTTGTTTTGATCTGTAACTCATTGGAATTGTTAATATATCTGTATATGTGTTTTAAACAAAACGTTCAATTGAATCTTTTAGGCTTTTTTGCATCATACTGTAAGGTAGAGTGTGAACCGGAATATTAATACAAAAATAGTCTAACATATGTTTTTTTACACAGCATTTGTAATGTACTCTATAAAGACAGATGATATGTACCTTATCTTCATCTTTTTCTGCCATTTCATCAGATTCTTCTTTCCCCTGGATCTGAGCAAGTGTCGGTGTGTTCTGCAACTGTTCTTTGAGATAGTTCAACAATGTTGTCACAGAGTTAACAGCTAGCACATGCATTGTATTCACAATCAGGTAATCAGCAAGTCGAATAAAACTAAACAAAAAATATAATAAAATATGATAAATAAGAGCCTAGAATTGTAAATCCTGGATGGCTAAGAGGAAGGCAAATACGAAATTGTCCCATGTCCCATCTATTTTTGTAAATTAGGTGAGCCATAGCATATTATTTCCTTTTTCTTAACATCGATAACATTTTAGAATGACCACAAATGCGTCCAGTGGTTCTATTAAATTAAATTATACCCTTATCATTAGTGGCATAGCCCATGATAATTCAGTTTTTATAAAGTGTAACTACTCAATTTTATTGTTATACCACTTTTTAAACATTTAATCTATTCAAACCATTTTAAATGCATTTCCCTTTGAAGGTATCAATTCAAAATGATTTATGACAGTTCCCACGGCATGTTTATAGTCATTGTGATGTAACAAGATATATTGTAGACATTGTGTTCTGTGCATTAATTCTGTTATTTAAATGTTAAAAGTCATTCTTTCAATAGACCCGAATAGATTCTATCGTGAATATTCCCAGGTGCGGTTTCCCACAGTCCGGAAACCCGTAAATAGCTTTCCTTCTATTACCATGTTAATCTACGGCAATGGCTTCTCTTGTTAGCCTGCTCT